TCAGCAGGAGGATAAAATATATCTTAGCTCAACTGGTTGCAACATTTTGATGACCTCCTTCATTGGTGTTCATCAGTTGTTCTGATTCAGAGAGAGCTATAAATGAATCCCGACATCTAATCCTTAAATATTACAGCAATGCACTCAGCAGTGTACAATTGTTTGATTGCATGCTGGCACACATTAATTTCTCTCTCCAGTCTTAACCCTAAAAGGTATGAAACTACCCGCACCCATGAAACAGGAATATTTACAGTAAACACTGCTTTATAAAGCAGTATCCCTGCTGACTTACTGACTGCAGTTCTTCCTTTAAAGACAACCTACTGAGGTAGCCAGGACAAAATCTATCTCCATCCTAATCTATTTTAGCATGAGCAATCAACCAGCTCTGTCAGGTTCATTTAAGGCCTGTTACTGACTTCTAACAACCTCATTGGATAAAAGGTTTCCCCTTAGCGGTAGCATTTTTTTAATACTGCTCTATTTCAGTTGGCAAAGCCTTGGAACATTCATTTCCTCTGTTGACAGTACAGTAACAGTAAGTGCTGAAGGCACTCTATTATCTCAGCTCATAAACACAGTGCTGGTCCGTAATTTGTCACAAAAATTTCAAACCACAACAAATCCCACTGGAAAAGTGGGATTTGTCGTCTAGATAGCATTTTCACATAAAATGTGGAGTACGGAAAGTTTAAGTTCTGGTCCTACAATTATTGTAAATGACACTGTGTAGCAGTAAATACCAAAGAAGGACTGAGAGGCAGGGAACAGACTCCAGGTAAACACAGCAAGTTTGAGCAATGACAGGCAAAATAGGCCTCCTGAGACCAAAGCTGGAACACACTCCAGCCACAGACACCAATAGGGTGTGGGAATGGGAAGGACAAGCTCATAATGACCATTTTAAGATGCTGATGCATTTACGTTGCTATGATGGAAAATGAGCAGTTAATTGTCTTATTCCTATTGACCCCAAGTCCTGTCTCACAGGCAGCTCACTCATCCTTGACATTAGATGTGACAGCTGATGGAACAGCTGACTGAGAAATAGGGAGTTATTTAATAAGAGGCAGTTTCACAGAATCAGAATCGGCTTTATTGGCCAGGTGTGCTGGACACGAGGAATTTGACTCTGGTACAACAGTTCTCAATGTGTATGTACATATCCTTATGTAAGGCAGTAGCAAAGGGCAAGTAAACAATGTACCAATACAAGGCTGTATAGTATAGCAAAATAAAGAGTATAAACAATGCAATAAACAATGCAAACAGACAAAGGAATGTTCATTAGGATTCAGAGAGACAATGTTATAACCTCTGCATCTAATTCAAAACCTTCCGAGAGACAATATTATAACCTCTGCATCTAATTCAAAACCGTGAGCCAGGATATGACTTCCATCTGAGGTCTTGCTGATCACAGTGCCCAGACTGAAGCGTTACTGTAGCCTTGCATAATCATAACAGCTACAATCTAAAGAACCATGCAAAACTGCGGCTTTCATTTGATCACTCATTACAGTTTTTCACAATTGCTAAAACAATAAACCCCATTCTCTGAACCAAATTCTCAATATCCTAAACCAATTTGTCGAATAAATCAATTCAGAGGAGACAACAGGTCATATTTTTACACTATATTTTTATAATTTCAATGACTAATTCACTTAGTCAATATACTGTAAAGTGAACTGGAAATTCTCACTCACTAAAACAAAATTCACACTGATGAACTTGTGTTGCAAAACATTAAACACAAGACAGCAAAACTTATTCGCAACTAAAGGACAATTGTCATCGTTTACACACAACAATTCAAAATTGTTCACACTTGTTTCTAATAATGTGATGAGAAGGTACAAATCATAAGCCAGCTCAAAGTGCACAAATGGCACGGGTACATCCAAGTATGGAGAACAATATTAGAGGTAGAGCAAGAGTGTGTATATGTGGTGGTGGACAAAGAGGATAACGAAGAGTAAGATCAAGAACAGTAATTTCAGATGAAATTAGAGCTAC